TGACGAAAGACCATGTGTTTGTCCCAGCAAACGTTTGTGAACTCATCAACATTCGGCTGGGAGTGGTTGTGTCCAACAAGATCAAACGTGAACAGTTCGTGCAGATCTGTCCACATGACCAACCATTGGCGTACAAACTAATGCGCCTGGCGCACGCAGCTACTTTGGAGGGTGCTAGATTGTTCAATTTTTCATATAGTGCATACAATGCCTCGTTTGCGCAAGCAGAAAAACATTTTGGTTTGGACCTTCGGCTAACCGCCCACTCGGGACGTGCCGGATTCGCCACCTGCAGATCATGAGAGGAGTCGACCCGAAGCTGGTTCAGACGGCGGGGCGCTGGGTGTCGGAGTCAAGCTTTCGCACATACATAGATACTGCAGGCAGCTTACATGTTCGCACACAGATTGAGTTCAATAGGTTGCTCACAGCTTCTCACTGGTGCAAAGAACATATCTCTGATTACTTTGTCGGTCTTGCGTGCATAAATGGTCAGGGCAAGCCGTGCAGACTCAGTCGAGCCCATGAACAGGCCCGACCTGCGCAGACGCGAGAACAAGTTCCTGGTGCCACAACCGCCCGAGTATCTTTCGCCATACCAGAAGCGCAAATGGCGGGAGGGGCAACTCGAGGTCTGATCCAGCCGGCCTCAGCGCGCCAGAGTGCAGACAGCGCCAACATGGCAGGACCACCAACAGCAGCGGCAGCGGCAAAGGCAGTCGTCCGGCCAAAGGCAAGGGCAGAGGCAAGCTTCTTCCGCCTGGCCGGGCAAGCCAATCCATTTTCGATTAGGTGCTGCCGTCGCTGGACGAAGCCAGTACTGAGCTCAGGAGGAGTTCTTTTTGGGTTGCTCATGCTGGCCGTATGCTCAGGCAGTCAAGGTCCTTTGTTTCATGTGGCTCGTGTTTTCGGCGCCATTGCTGATGTGAGTGAAGCCTCTTCCGCAGTGACCATCCATGCATTGAACTTCACCAACCAAGTGGCCCAGTCCGCTGGGTCTTGGGTCGCAGTGGCCACCACAAACGGACTCACGGCAGGTGCAAACCTCTGGAAAGGAGTCGACTTAGGAGAGATCTCAGCTACTCGTTGCGGAGGCTCCATAGTTGTGACTTCGCCCGCAGTGCTTCGACATTGGTTAGATTCACCAATGGCCATTTCGCATTTTCCATGCTTGACGGAAGTGCTGAAACAACGCTTGTTTGTGGCAGTTGCTTCAATCACCCAAGAACTACCCTACACTCAGGCATTGTCAGATGAGCTGAACATGACAGGATCTTTCATGTCCCTACGTGTAGGAGCTCAACGCCTGGATGAATCCTGTGTCTTGGCATGGTTTGAAGCGACTTCGTTGGTTTTCGGGCGCCGCTGGGCTAACCCCTTGTGGGACCAGCTGGGCTGTCCGCTCAGCACGGAACGTGACCAAGTGCTACGTGCGCTGCGCCTGCTGCTGCTTGATCTCCCGCCATCTCCGCAGGCTCCTGTGGTGGCCATGGCTGACCTGGAAATGCTGCCGGTGGCTTTGCAGACTCTGGAAACTCCACCGGCGGCTTGGCAGATGATTTTGATGCAGATGTATTCCCTTTTTGACGATTCCCTCCGGGGAGGGGGGTTCATTGAAACTGGGGGTGCTTTTCTGGGAGCTGCTTTGGACGGCTCTTCTTTTACTTGGGTGACCCTTTATCTGGGCTTAGGGTTCATGGTTTGGGTGACCTCGGACTGGATACATCGCTTTTGCGGCAACCGCCGTGCTCGTCTCATGCCGATGATTTTGGACAGTGCAGCTAATGAGCAAGAAGTAGGAGTGGCACACCCAGAAGTTGTGGCTCTTACACCACGCTCGGTCACCACAATTTGTTCCCGGTCCCTCAGTGAGTCGTCCTTTCAAGTGGTCGATGACAGTTTGTGTGAAGTGGATGAAGACATTCGCTTCGCGGAGGGGGGACGATGATTTTGTGCTGAGAAGTTGATTTGCTCAGTTGCGCTGTGAGACAGCGATCAGCTCAGAGAGTCACCATGAGGTGAGAATGCGCCCCAGGTGAAAGAAGATTTGGACTAACCTCAGCATTGGCAGCAAAATGCTTTGCTGCTGGGGTGGGTGTGGAGGGCATGAAGTTTTGTGACTTGACAAGCCATTCGCTCAAAATGGGGGATTCCAAAGGAATGAAGTTTTTGAATGTCGGCTTGAGTCACCTTTGATGTTTCAATGAACCTCAGCTCATCAGGGCCCCCCCGGCCCTCCTCTAGCCTGATGTGCTGGAGAACGATGATTTTGTGCTGAGAAGTTGATTTGCTCAGTTGCGCTGTGAGACAGCGATCAGCTCAGAGAGTCACCATGAGGTGAGAATGCACCCCAGGTGAAAGAAGATTTGGACTAACCTCAGCATTGGCAGCAAACTGCTTTGCTGCTGGGGTGGGTGTGGAGGGCATGAAGTTTTGTGACTTGACAAGCCATTCGCTCAAAACCAACATTTTGTCAACTATCGACTATCGATATTAATCTGTCATTCTAATTGGAAAACGCTTGTAGTTCCTACCGTGGGACAACGGCGTTAAACAGCTTGTGCATGATGGAAGCACTCAGACCGAACACCAGAAGATTGAAAGAGTTTTGCTTTACAAAAATGATGAGTTCTGTTAAAGTTAGTTTTGTGAGACAGACAAACATATCAGATACAGAAGGAATCAAGAAACGGTCGAAGTCATCAAGATGTGCTAGTTCCAGTGGCTCCAGCCATGCGCCGCAGGCCGCCCACGTGGACAGAGTGTTTTCAGCTGTGGCTCGCCGTGCTGCACTGGCTCATTGGTCAGTGGCCTCGTTTGGTCGGGTGTTTCGCCATCGCCAGGTGAAAGCCGAGGCAGAGAAGGCGAAGAAAAGACTTGAGGAGGTGAGCAAATCGGTTGATGTGATGAATCAATGTGACAAAGTGATATTAATGAGCATTGCTTGCGATGTTTGTCTTGAACAGATTGGAGTTGAAGAAGACGATGATGAGGAAATGCAGGCAGAGGCGAGTGGCCATCACTGTTCTTTGGTGTTTGCAAGAAATGTATTGCAACATATTGTAACCAGCAGCTTTCACCTTGATTCAGCAGATCAATTCAAGATTGGTCGCATTGATGCTATGCTTTGTCCATTTGGATTACTTTTTGTTCCTTCGGGACCCTTGCGCGCGCACAAACCCAGGGAACCTAATCCCAATGGCATGGACACGCCAGGTGCATTTTGCACATCGGTTTGCAAGGTTTGGGGGTGAGGGGGGGTAATGATGTCAGTCTTTTAGCGAGATTCCACTTGCAGCATGGCGGCTCGCAGGGTTCTGATCGCGTTTTCTTCTTCGTTCGTGTTGTTGCTCCGTTGTTTGTCGTTGTCCTCCAATTTGTTCCGCGGTATTGTGGTGAGAACCGCCTTCAATTTTGATCAATATATCATATCGATGGTCTCTGTCAGGTTTCGTTCGACGACGTGGGTCTGCTTGCCCTTCAAACTTCATTCTAGAACGACGTGTCTCCGAGAGTTTTTGTTCTGGAGCGCAAACGTATACAAACGTTCTGTCAATTCTTTCGTGGTTCTTGCCATGGCTTGGAACTCTTTGAGCCGCAGTGCTTCTCAGCTGTGACGTTGTTTGTCTCAGTTAGAGGTGTGCAAAACGAAACCCTCTTGTTGGCGCCTGCTTGGTTATGACACTGGCTGAAGAGTTTGGGGACTTGGATCAAACTTGCGCGTGGCAATGAGACGGAAACCGCAATCAAGGCATGCCGGCCTGTCCCAGCGCAGCGCGCGCTCTCAGCAGGGTATGGAACGCTGTTGTTAAGTTTTCCTAAAAGTCTAGGAACCGAATGATTAGTGCGTGAGGTATCCTGCGTCCCAGCTAGGAGCTTCCCATTGCTAGTAGCTTACTCCCTTACTAAGTTAAGTAGGCGCCTACTCAACTACGTAAGGGCGGGCTCTAAAAAAGCCTGTTTCTTCTGCCTGCATGTTTTTGATGATGCAGTTTGGTGTGCCACTGCAACCCGCCTATGTAAGTCGGCCTTGCAGTGAGAGGGAGTGATTACTCCAGGCCCCAACTCTGCAAGCCATGTTCGATGAGGGCTTCAATGCCGCGCTTGATACTGCGGTGGGTGCGTTGGACTGATGCCCTAGGGTATTCAGCTGGAGGTAATCTCTTCTGTTGAGGAGTGGCCCAGACGCATAAGAAGGAGACTCCCCTCAATGGCATCTGACAAACTTTCTTTTGCACTATGTTAGCCGTTCAATAGCCCGTTCCTTGATGCACATCCGGGGGTAGCTGGCTGTACATAGATTGGCACTGCGACTGAAACAAGGCCTGGTGCCGTTTCACGACAGCAACCAAAAAGACAAGGGGCGAGCTCAGAATTTGAGAACCACCTTCCAGTGCCAGAGTTTTCTACGCCGACTGAGGCCAAAGCAGTTCAGCCAGCCCCAAATGCCCCCAGGGATGCCACCGCTGCCGCAGATACCGCAGATGCCGATGCCAATGCCCCGGCCTCCAAGCTAGGCCTGAAAGCAGGGCCACAATGTACTTAACTTGAAAGGCCCTTTTGACCACTTGGAAGGAAGGGGGTGGTCTGTTCGACCCGTTGTTTCGACGTGTTCCTCCTTGCAGAAGATCGCCCCATCCTGGAAGAGGGTGTTCTTCCAAGAGTCTCTGTGGATGTTGCCACAAAAAGTCACAAAAGCATGACATCAACTTGCATTCATCAAAGATTCAGATTTGTGTAGGTGAAAACCGATGGAACACCTTTTCGGGTCGGTCTTCATTTTTTCAAGGTGTGTTCAAGTTTGAAGAGCATGTCCTTTGTCCTTTTTGTGCAGGCTTGACTATGTTTACCAGTGGGCGAATGCCTTCAGACTACACAAGCCTTGCGGCAAAAATGCTTTTTGGGGGGGGCGCTTGCTTTGTCTGCGACGGAAGGCAAGCACCTCTATAAATATATTCATGTTGGATGCCATGATGAAAGGTTTCGATCCGCTGCATCTCAGTCACCCTCCGGTTGCCAGTCCGCTTCAGTCAGCCATGGCGGAGGCTTTCAAAGGGTAAGAAAGCAGAACTGGTTGTAATGCAAACAAAAGGTGAACCAGCAGATCAAGCTCTGGTTTAGATACAAAAAAGGTGCACAGCAGAAGGGGAATACTGAGACAAGCTACAAGTAGTTGACAAGGTGCAGGATGGTGCAAACATGCCGGGTATTTACTGTAGTTTCATGTGCATGGTATGACCCCACTTGGACTAGGTTCGTACTTGTAGAGCGTAGGCTTCCAAATAGAGAGTATTCGCTCATCCTCAGTCCATGAGTGCCATGAGTCAGGTGGACATGGCGGCAACACAGGTGGACACGGGCCGCAAGGGGTGGAAAAATACCCAAAGAGAATTGCTAAGCACCGTTCTTGCGAAGGAGGCAAGCGTGACGATCTGGGGCTGCAGCATCGCTGTCAAAAGTAACCCTGCAGAGGGTTAGGGGATGTCAGGCATATATCATCGAATCCATTTTTCGAGGTGACTAGACCAGTTTTGGAAGCGTGCACACGAGAGCTAGGATTCTGTGCAAGGAAGTTTGGGTTTTGCTTTGAACAGACTTAATTCATACCATGCGGTTATACTACTGTATCCCTTATTAGCAAATACCGATTACTGTAACTTAGCTAGGCTCCTGATGTGACGTCCACTTCTGCAGGGCAGCTATGGCGCGACCGGGTACAGATCAGATTGTAAGTCATTGCAACATGGCAAGAAGTGTTTTCCTTGTTTATCATTGTTGACTCACATGACATGTGTGGCTCTTTGAAATGCTAGTAGCATTTTGCGACCAGCGCGCTGGAAGCGACCAAATGTCCGGTGTGCTTTCTTAAAACAAACCGCCTTCCCAAATCTACAGTATTAGCATTGAATCGAACAAACACCTTTCGAAAAGTTGAACTTGTTGTCTGTGGTGAAAGCCCAGAAAGAGGAAGTCACTTTGATAGTCATGGTAAGCATTCGTTCCCAATGATTTCATCTGAAAAGAAAGCAGCAGTCACCTCCTCTCTTGGAGGAGGAACAGCCGGAGCAGCTGGAACAGTCCGAAGATCACACCATCCAACTGAAGGCGAGACAGAAGGACACCATTCTTTTTTGATGTGAATGCTCGAAATGTTTGTCCCGCTCTTGGAGGTGCATGGGGGCGGAGGCATGCAACTGAGTGGACAGTCCGAAGGTTTGACAAGGAAGCAGTTCAACCTGTCATACATACTAGGAGCAAGGACGCTACTAGGGGCTCCTGGCCGTACTACTAGCAACAAGAAGCTACTAGGGGCTCCATGTGCACAACCCGCCTCCAAAGGCCTCACGGCGACAATGGTCCCGGAGGGTCTCGAAGGCACGGCTGGCCGGTCCCGACCAGGGTGGTGGTGAGTTTCGATAGTAGCTTCTCGCTCCTTGTGGCAAGAATGCTCCTAGTAGTAATGCCCTTTGTTACTAGGAGCGATGCCCTTGTTGCTAGTAGTAAGGCCATGCCTAGTAGCGATGCCCTTGCTCCTGGGCAGGTCTTGACACCCATGTCTTGGATGCGACGGTCAGAGCAAGGCTTTCGCCGGAGGACGATCTCACAAGCTCTCCGTGGGCCGGACAACGAATGCTCGATCGGATGAGGAGCGCTTGGCTCGCGAAGTCGCACGCCGCCGCCAGGTTGGATCGGGTTGGGTTCGTGGAGTTAGGAAAGCATGTGTATAATTGTGTGTATATATATATAGACAGTCTCGAGTTGTGGAGTGTGCCAAAGTCTCAAATGTGGCCAAATCTATCCTCACAAATCACGAAACCTCAAGGGTATACCTCGAGTTTGCTTTGCGAAGCAAGGGTTGGGTCGTCCGGGTTTAATTGTTGATTAATTAATTTCGACCCCCGCCCCGCCCGAATTGATTTATCCATTCCAACCTCCCCCTAGATGGATCATCGGATCGGTTGGATCAGCTGCGGATCATTGCATCTGCCAGATCATCGGATGTGCAACACCAGGATGATGCAGTTGGATCGGCTGCAGATCTGATTGACAATTGGATCATTGGATCAACGGACCATCGGTTTGGTCATCGGTCGTCAGATCACAACAGCACTCAGATCGGCAGATCCCGGTCATTGGATCACCGGATCACTGGCTCGAACCTATCATCGGATCGATGGGATCGGAGCATCGATCATCGGATCAATGGACCACTGGATCGATCGATTGTTGCTGCGGCTGCGACCTTTGGATCCTCGGGCGAGCTTGCTTGACCATAGAGAAAAAACAACAACTTGGGGCCTCTTCAGCTTTCCTGCGCCTTCCTGCTTTCCTACCTTTCGTGTCTCCACCCTTCCGCAAGGTTTGTTAGATGACATTCTGACAGATTCTATGTTGGACGCAAGATGACGCAAGAGTCTTTACTTTCACACCTGGAGTTTCACTTGTGTCGCTTAGATGATCCGTTGAAGACTACACTAGCAAACCAAGTCTAGACGTATTTGCAAGTATTTGCGTTGGGAGTTTGCTGGGATTCGTTTGAAAAGAACGTTCTTCACAGCTGCCGCCCCGATGTGTTTCGCACCTGCAGGGTTTGGTCCTTTTTTGTGGCAGTTCAACTGCATTCGTAGAAGATGCTACTTGAACAGCGCCATGAGAGCTTTCGCTCTTTTGTCAGTCAGAGTCTTGACTGGAATCTCACGGTTTGACTTGCCAGTTGGAGCTGGAGCGTCGACAACGCATCTTCAACTCCAAGCGTCGACTGATTGGCATCGATCAGCAGGCCCGTATATCGGTGATATTGCTCAGTTTTATTTTGCTGCACTTGCATGCTTTGTACTATAGCTGCCTTCAAGCGCTATCTCCCGTTGACCAGACCTTAGATGCACAAGTTGCTGAGCGTCAGCGGCTGAAAGAGGAGCAACAGCGGCAAGAGCCTTTCCGGCCTGATTATTAGCAATTATATGTGTTTGATTCTTCTTTGAAGTCTTGTTCATGTCACAAGCATGCTATGTCAATAGTTTAGTCGACAACTCTTTCAGCGCAATCTCTATTTATTTTTACTCAAAACGTGAAAGACCCGTACCAGCCGCGGCTTGAAGTGTGTTTTTGTTGAAACATATGCGGAAAAACGTTGTGCAGTTCTATGTGTGAAATCCATTATGGACTTGATTCGCCAGTGTCGCCGAAGATCGGGCGATGTTGGCGCTGGACAAACAGCTCAAGCTGCATGAGGCAGCCACCACTTTTTTGTCACAGAGCTGCAATCGCACATCTCGGCAGTATGCAAATGAGAACAAGAACCCAATAGCCAGCAATGACCTCCAACCTACTAGCAATGGCCTCCAACCTACTAGCAATGGCCTCCAACCTACTGGCA